TTTGCATGATCAACATAGACAATATCATCCATAAACTACAAGGTGTAATATTCTACAACCGTTATGTCGACGATTGCTTTGTTATTTATAACAAACAATTAACCAACCCTCATATCATACTTCATCAGGCCAACAATATCCAAAAAAACATCCTTTTCGAATTTGAAAATGAAAACAACAACAATCTCAATTTTTTAGACATCACCATACACAGACATAACAAGCACATTACTTTTAAAAAATATATAAAACCATGTAACGTCAATAAAGTAATAAATTTCCACTCCAGCACACCCATGTACATTAAAAAGAACATATTCATGATGTATATCAACAAAATCAAAACTCGTACTAGTAATATTACTAACCAAAACACCGAAATTGACCAAATTTACCGCATTTTTCAATTAAATAACTACCCCAACAGAATCATCTACCAATGGCTACACAACCCCCCTTCTCGTCAACCCAAACCAAAAACACAGGTAACTTACAAAAAGTTAGTTTATATCCCTACTATTTTTGAAAACATCCAAAAGATCTTAACACCATATAACATTATTTTAGCTCCCACACTAAACAATAAAATCAAAAATTCCTTAAAAATCAATGAACAAAGTAATAGTAACACAGACATTTTACTTAATAACAATCTAGTCTACAGCTTTGCCTGTACTTGTCATCCTAAATTCTATTACATAGGTGAAACCAGTAGAGTACTAAAAACCCGGATAAATGAACATATTAGAGCCATAAAATATAATTACATCAACTCTGCAGTTGCTACTCATTGCAACCAAACTGGCTGCGAGATCTCACCCGACAGCATCAAAATACTTAAAAGGGAAAAAAACATTTTTAAAAGGAAATTCTACGAACATATCGAAATTATTAAAACTAAAGAAACACACAGAATGAACTTAAATACTGGTACTGTCATAAATGACATCTGGCAGCCTTTCCTAAGATGCAAAGCCCATTAAGTTGTCCTACCATCCTCCCACCTTAACCCCCACTGTGCAATTCCCAC